ACTCTAAAGAATGATAGCTTATCATAATAATAATAATAAAAACCCAGGATCATGGCCACTGGCCCCATCACATCCTTGCAAAAAGAAGGGGAAGTAATGGAGGCAGTGACAGATTTTACTTTCTTGGGCTCCATGATCATTGCAGAGGGAGACAGTAGCCACGAAATTAAAAGAAATCTGCTTCTTGGGAGGAAAGCAATGACAAACCTAGACAGCATCTTAAAAAGCAGAGACATCACCTTGCCGACAAAGATCCACATAGTCAAAGCTATGGTTTTTCCTGTGGTGATGTATGGAAGTGAGAGTTGGACCATAAAGAAAGCAGACTGCCGAAGAATTGATGCTTTTGAATTGTGGTGCTGGAGGAGGCTCTTGAGTGTCCCCTGGACTGCAAGGAGAACAAACCTATCCATTCTGAAGGAAATCAACCCTGAATGCTCACTGGAGGACAGATCCTGAAGCTGAGGCTCCAATACTTTGGCCATCTCGTGAGAAGAGAAGACTCCCTGGAAAAGACCCTGATGTTGGGAAAGTGTGAAGGCAAGAGGAGAAGGGGACAACAGAGGACGAGATGGTTGGACAGGATCATTGAAGTGACTGACATGAATTTGATCCAACTCCGGGAGGCAGTGGAAGACAGGAGGGCCTAGCGTGCGCTTGGCCATGGGGTCACGAAGAGTCGGACATGACTAAAAAACAAACAATAATGAAGCCAGCATGCTAATGTATTTTTGTCACTTGTTCTAGTCTGGCTTGGCCTGCAAGTGGGCATGGCTAAATAAACTGCAGATCGATGCTTGTTGTTGGTTTTTCGGGCTGTTTTGGCCGTGTTCTGCAGGTTTTTCTTCTTGACGTTTCGCCAGTCTCTGTGGCCGGCCTCTTCAGAGGACAGGAGTCCGAACTGCAGATCCTCCATCCTGTTTTGCTTTTATGGCTGAACACAGAAATCTCACTTGACAAGCCAGAGCCATAAATCCTGGTTTAGCTTATTTTTTATTTATGCCATTTCTGTGCTGATTTCCACCCGTGTAGGCAGTTTTATCTTTATTTTGCTCCTAACTGTGAGTCTTTTCCATGGTGCTTCCTCCACTCTGTTTGTTTTCTCCTCAGCATTCTCCTCGTCTTGCTTTTCCTCCATCTCCCGTTGCCTCCCTTCACTCCTGCTCCTCAAGAGTTCTGTCTACTTACGCTTTCTCTTCTCCGGTAGCCTCTTAAGCAGAGCTACTTGCTGCTCCAGTTCTTTCACGTTTTCTTCCCACAGTGCTTCTAGCTTGCACTTTCTGCATGTGTATGCCATGTTGTTTTCAGGCGTGAAAACCAATACTACACGCAATTTGCAGGATGCCACCACTGAAGTGTCTCTTCCTTCCATAATCCACATTACGTTTGTCCATGGGTGGGTACCCTTTCCTTTGTCTTCTTGGGAGATGGTGGGAAAGGCCACTAACATATACTGTAACTGTCTGCCTTTGTCTCTTCCTCCAGTTGACTCTTACTATCTCTCTCCCATCAAACTCTCTCTGGGGTCTGTCTCAGTTTTATTTCTCTGCTGTGCTCCAAATAGAGTAGTCCTAAAACAAGCTGGAATTTTTTGCATGTATACATTACTGAAACAATGACGTCTATGTTGGCTTGGGCACGTCATGAAAATGGCTAATAGTCGGATTCCAAAAGATCTCCTGGATGGAGAATGAGTGCAGAGAAATCGCCCCAGAGGGAGACCACAGCTGCCATCCAAGGAGATCTGCAAGCGGGACCTGAAGGCCTTCAGGAGGGACCTCAACAGATGGGAAACCTTGACATCTGAGTGTTTAGCCTGGAGGCAGGCGTTGCATCACAGCCTCTCCCAATTTGAAGAGACCCTTGTCCAGCACGCCAAGGCCAAGAGGCAGTCCTGGAAGCAGGAAAATCAGGGAGCTGGCCAGGGAACGGATTGTATTTGTCTTCAGTGTGGAAGGGACTGTCACGCTCGAATTGGCCTTCTCAGCCACACTAGACGCTGTTCCAAGTCCTCCATTTAGAGCACGTTACCCTAGTCTCGAGAGACTGAAGGATGCCTAGTCAGATGTGCTGTTGGCACTGTCTTTTCCCCAGGAATAATTTGACATGTGGAGTCTGATTTTGGTGGCAGTTCTGTGGCCTGTATAACAGGTGCCATTGCCTATGGCTTCTTCAGTGGTATTGCCTTTGGCTCCTTCATATGGCTATGCCTTCTGGAATTTATAGCCCAGAAGACCATCTAAGCAAACAGGCTAAGCTGGGCACCCCTTTTTATTGCCAACAGTACCTTGGGTGTTCTGTAAAATGGAAGCAGTGCAAGTGTGCCTTAATACTGCCCCATAATTTCATCTCGGATTCATTTTTTGGAATGCCTAGTAGGAGCGCAGATACAGCTCTGCGAAAAACCAGGTTCCCTGCCAATACTGTGTGTTTTCTAGGTGACCTTAACTTGACCAGACTTGGAGTAATTATGCTTTCCTTTATTCTCCAGTGGTTTGTTTGCACACTCTTCATTCACATCTGTGAAATAGGACTGGTCTGCCTAGATGCTTTAAACACATCAATTTGAGTCAAATTATATCTTTTCTTGAAAGTGCTTGGGCAGGTTTAAAAAAATAGTAGGAGTGATTTCTCATACCTTGTCTTTCTTCCAGGATTAGTTTTTACTCAGTTTGTGTCAATTTCTCATTTGGGAGCCATCCTCCTTACATGGGCTAATAGAATTTCTATTTAATGATCTACAGCTCCACTTTTATTCCCTATTAGGATCTGGCTGATCAATGCATAACCTAATTGATTGTTAAGGTCAAATGTGCCATGTCTTTATTGGCTGATACCCAAATCTTATTTATTGTTCTTCAGATGTTGGTTCTACGGTCCATTAGCCTTTTTCTTATCCATTCTAACACAAAGGAGCAATAAAAAATCCTGATACATAGGTTGTGGGACACCTTAATTGTTATGCATTGTATGCTTGTTGTCAGATGCCAGACCAAAGACTTGAAATATTTAAAATATCTCTCCAGAGTTGAGATTAATCTAATGATCAATTGCATCGTAAAATGTTTTGCTGTATTTGTAGTGTGGTTATGAATGAGAGCGGGTGTCTCCAGCAGGAGAAGGGAATAGAGGAGAGATCAAACAAAGGACGCAGTCCACTGGGAATATTCTACAAGGAGCAAATTCCGGTAAAAAGATGCTCCTATTCACTTTGGTGAAGTTATCACAGTGGAAAATTCTGCTGGATTATATCCCAAGTTATAAGCAAGATAGTGAGTTTATATTTCTCCAGCAGTCCAGGAGAGTGAGGTGATTTTAAAGGTGCTTCTCAAAAAGAGCGATAGATGCATTTCAGAAGTAGTAGAACAGTGGTTTTCATTAATTAGAAGCCTGGGAAAAATATATCTTCATCATTCATCTTTCTCATATTTTTGAAGTATCGCCAGTGACCCCGGTAGACTGGAGACGGAACTGAATAATTTGGTGCCAAAGTACATTAACTGATAGTCACAAAAGACAGATCATCTTTGTATTCTGGAACATATAATTTGTAGTAACTACTGTACTGAGATGTGTTCTCGAAGGCTTTCACGGCCAGGATCCGATGGTTGTTGTGGGTTTTCCAGGTTGTTTGGCCATGTTCTTCTTCCTAACGTTTCGTTTTACTTCCTAACATTTCGCCAGTCTCCTTGGCTGGCATCTTCAGAGGACAGGAGTCAGCCCCCCCCCAGCCACAGAGACTGGTGAAATGTTAGGAAGAAAAACCTTAAGAACATGGCCAGACAGCCCGGAAAACTGACAACAACCAGTGTACTGAGACTTAATTGGGACTGCAGAGTTCCTCTCCCGGCCTCCGTAGTGGTCCCCACTGGTTTGTTCACTACAGTCTTGGTTTTTCATTTCAGGCCATTTCTCATAGTTGATGTGTGACCTTTTTCATGCCTACTATAAATAAAAAAGCAATATTTGTTACTGCAGCTTCTGTTTTCTGTCATTGCAAGTTGCTTTGGCTTTGCTTGTTGAAGTCCATACTTAATGAGCTGTGGACTTCCTATCTATTTTTATGTAGTCTTTAACCGCCCCCCCCCGCCCTGATGCATAACAGGCAATATTTCTCAGCTTTCTTCTGTGGGGAGCAGAATATGCTAGGGGTAGGTTAAAGTTTAGCAGCCTCTCTTTTGCAATCGTTTGTCTGCTCCTCATCACAACTTTCCTAGGTTCTTCATTAAGAATGGTAAACTTTGGTGCTCAGGGAGGTGTTTAGACCTGGACAGTTGTCCCACAGTCTCTGATTTCCGTTGCCTTTAGTTGTGGCCATGTGCCATCCAACTTCTGTAATCCACGTGACATTTTATCAATTACAGTAAAATTTATGATATATGTGGTTCTAAGCTCCCACCCCGTGGATGCTGAAAAACATGGAAGTATTGAGCACAATAAATTACATGATCTCTGGCTTCCTCTTATGGCCAGTTCTGGTAAACATACCCTGGAAATACATATTTTTGGTTTGGCACTTTCAGCCAGAGGATAAATGAATCAGTGGATACTGATCTGCAGATGGGAGGGGGTCCTACTGGCAGCATCATGGACATGCTGGTCTTCTAAAACTATGGCATGGTCCAAGTTCCTGTTTTAATTAGTAGCTTGCTGAGCGATGGCAATTTCAGCAGCAGTTACATAAAGTTTGAAACCTGTGCCTCTTGTTTCTGGAGATCACCTAGAACATGTTTTGGCCACCTGAAGTGTCAAGTCCCTGTGCTTGACTGTGAAACTTATTGGGTGATGTTAAGGCAGTCGTCATCTCTCGGTTTAAGTGACCTCACAGGGTTGTTGTGAGAAGAGAAATGGTGAACAGGGCGATGAATCTTCTGATGTGTTCCTTGGTAGAAGGGAGGGAATGTGAATTCAGTAATGCTAATGATAGGAATATGTGATAATAATAAAAATAACTGTGTTTGCACCCATGGCACTTACTTTTCCCCAATTCTTAATTCCAGCGAATGAAGAAGACCTGAAGAAAAGAATAGCCGAAGAGTTGGCAATAGAACAAGCCAGGAGAGATGCTGAAGCTCAAAAAAGGTTTGTTTTGGCCGGAAATAGATTCCCACTGTTTTGTCTTTAAATCTAAGTGTTTTGCAGTTTTGGAATGAACGGACAGCGTAGAGTTAGTTAATAACGTTTGAATACAACTGATATTTTGAAACAAAGATTTGGTAGCACTGATGTTGATATTGAGTGGATTTGTTAAACAGTGCAGAAAATTAAGGTTCTTTCTGCCCTCACCCCCGGCCTGCCTTTGTTTGACCTCTCATACTTGGAAATGCATCACTATTCCAGTATGCTCATTTAAACAAAAAAGCTTGTCGGTTTTGTGTTAATATTTTTTCCCATCTGGAGCTTCAGCAAACCATTTGTTTAGCTCTTTAAATAAATATCTATTTAATTTATATGACACCCATTTGGCTGAGGACCACTCTGGACTGTTTATAGCACAAAATTACAAGGTAGCAATATCCAGCAATCAAATCATAAGATTACAACTCAACTATATAAAAGAAGGTAAGTAAAGGTTCACCTTGACTTTCAGTCCAGTCGTGTCCGACTGTAGGGCGCGGTGCTCATCCCAGTTTCCAAGCCATAGAGCCAGCGTTTGTCCAAAGACAGTTTCCGTGGTCACGTGGCCAGCGCGACTAGACACAGAACGCTGTGACCTTCCTACCGTGGTGGTACCTATTTATTGACTCGCATTTTTACATGCTTTCAAACGGCTAGGTTGGCAGGAGCTGGGACGAGCGATGGGAGCTCACTCTGCCACGTGGATTCGATCTTACAACGGCTGGTCTTCCAACCTTGCAGCACAGAGGCTTCTGTGGTTTAACCCACAGCGCCACCACATCCCTTATATAAAAGAAACAGTGTTATCAAATCAAAATAAGACCATTTAAAATACATTCTGAAAATACCAAACATTCAGACATATTTAAATTGAGGGTAGACAGTGGCAATAATTTATTAGCTTAGATGTCCGCAGGTTCTGTAGGCGGCGTAGTTTCAGAAGCTTGCTGAAAGAAGCAGGTCTTGCTTCTTAAAAATCCCTGGCGAAGGGACCAGATGGAGGGTGGGTGGCAGCTTATTCCCTATGTGGGGGACAACTGCCATGAAGGCCCAATGTCTTCTCTTTCTAGCCTCCTCTTGGGGGATCACTCGCTATGCCTGAGATTAAACGGGTAGAATGGGCAGTTCCAGTTGGGAGTAGGTGTTTGGCCCGATATTGAGGTCCCAAGTCATTTAGGGTTTTGTAGGTAAAAGCCATCATCTTGAAGCTAGGATGAAAATGAGCATGTAACCTGTGTCGGGCAGTCAGAATTGGGGAGATTAAAGATTATTATTGCCTCACATTGATAAGGGAAAAAATTCTAATATGCTGGACGTCTTTCGTATCTGTCCCACAAGTCCATTTCCTTCAACGGTGGAACTGTCTGATGGTGTCTGAAGTACTGGAGTTGCCCATAAAAGCTCACATTAAAATATAGCAGTCACGCTTTAAGGTACCACGATGTTTTTGTCTTCAATAATTTTTATTTTGTTCTGGCCTGATAACGCTAACACAGACTAACACGTCTGCCTCTTTTCAAAAAACTACTTCTACAACAAGTAGTTGTGAGGCAGAATGTAATCTGAAATGGAGCCCTTTCTTGCACCTAAATCACTGTGGTCCTATGGTGCCATCAGATTCTTTGTTTTTATGCAATTCCTCATCAAGCTTGGACTACAGTCCCCATAGCAGCAAAATCCTATTTTCTGTTTCCTTTTCTTGCCCCTTCTTTTTCTTTATTAGTTCCAGAGATCCTTCAGTTAAAGCAGTCTTCTCTGCTTTAATTCTCAAACCCTTCCTGAAACTTAAGATCCAGTTCACTCTCCGGCCTTCCACGAGGCATCAGCATGGCCTGAGACAGCCCAGCCATCGCTTGAAATGCCAAGCACATGTCCAAAGCTAATTTTCCCTATGTTGATTCTGTTTAGGTACTTATATTGCCTTTATTTGATTATGTGCTTTGTATGTCTGGTGCGTGTTAGATTATTCATTGCTTATGAGTTAATTAATTCTGTACTAGAGTTCATATAGTTATAAAGCCAATTCCACAAACAGCGGTCATTGTAGGCATTCTTGTGTGTTCAGTAACAATCCCCCCTTCCTTGGAATGTTCACTCCATAAGACTTTCCATCCCCCTGTTTTGTGGAAAAAAAGTGCGTCTTATAGTGCGAAAAATACGGTAGTTATAAAGCCAATTCCACAAACAACGGTCATTGTATGCATTCTTGTGTGTTCAGTAACAATCCCCTCTTCCTTGGAATAAGTAGTGTGGTGTGAGTGTGTGCCTGGGATAAATCTGATGAGTTGCATTAGAGCTGATTTCTTATATGTGTATAATCTCCGAAAAATTGTGAATTCATATTTATGTCCAAAGAGCACAGTTAATAATATCTGACGTCTTAGTCAATGGGGTTTACCTATTTTGATGTAAAGCCCCAATTGACTTCAGTCAGACTTTGTCCTGTGTACTTTTGTGTAAAATTACAGCCTAGATTGGCTTTAAAATTGTTTGTAATTGGTTACAAGAATATAAATATATCATCAAAACAAGAACTACAAGCAGCACTGCACACACATGGTTAAAACATGTCTCTGATTAAACACTAAAACAAATCAATGCGTTATGGTGAAATAGCTGCTCTTTGAAATATTATGGTTTGTCTTAATTGATTTTTGATTTTCACAAGGAAATGTGTTTAGTATTTGTGTGTTAGTGTTAATGTAATTAGTGTTAGCATTTAAAAGTAGAACAGTTTATTACGTGCTTTAATTATCCCTGGTGTTCACCCATTCTAGGTTTTGGTAACATTAAGCAGTGTCTGCTTCTGGTGGTTTTCATCTTCCATTCCTAAGCTGTATTCTTTGTTGGATGCCAGGTCAACATATAGAATCATAGACTAATGGAGTTGGAAGGGACCTGTAAGACCATCGAGTCCAATCCCCTGCTCAATGCAGGAATCCAAATCAAAGCAGATTTGACAAATGTTTGTTCAATTTTCCCTTCAGTGCCTCTAGCATTGGAGCGCTCACCACCTCCTAAGATAATTGGTTCCACTGTCGTACTGCTCTAACAGTTAAGAAGTTTTTCCTGATAATCAGCTGAAATCTGACTTCTTGTAACTTGAGCCCATTGTTGCGTGTCTTGCAGTTTGGGATGATCGAGAATGGATCTTGCCCCTCCTCTGTGTGACTATCTTTCAAGTATTTGAAAAGTGCTATCGTATCTCCCTCAGTCTTCATTTCAAAAAAGTGCTATCGTATCTCCCCTCAGTCTTGATTTCAAAAAGCTAAACATACCCAGTTCTTTCCATCTTTCCTCATAGAGTTTGGTTTCCAGTCCGCTGATCCTCCTTGTTGCCTTTTTCTGAACTCGCTCCAGTTTGTTGGCATCTTTTTAAAAGTGTAGTGTCCGGAACTGGACACAGCACTCTAGATGAGGCTTAACCAGTGCTGGATAAAAGGGGGACTAGTACCCCATGGGATTTGGAGGCTGTTGATGCCTCCTAAAAGCGCATTTGGCCTTTTTAATTTTTTTTGCGGCCACATTGCACGGTTGGCTCATACTCAGTTTTTGACCTACAACAATTTCAAGGTCCTTCTCAGTTCTAGTCAACGTTCCCTCTAAGTTTCTGTCCTGCAGCCCGGGAGCCTTGCTCTGTGTGCGCAGGGGGTAGGCGGGGCTTCATTCAAAATGGGAAGTAAGCATGCGGTAGGCGGGGCTTCATTCAAAATGGGAAGTCAACATACAAGCATGCACACCCGCAGCTTAGAGAGGATATTGCTTGTAGTATTACAGAGCCAAGTATCCCCCATCTTGTATAGAAATACAAAGAGCTCCATTTCAGTGGAATACGACTCCTAGAACCTCTTAGCCAGTCGTATCGGTTGGGGCTTTCTGGGAGTTCTCGTTCCCAACGGTAGCTTTTCCAAACTGTTCAGCTACAATATCCTTCTTTTCCTGAGTCAGCAATGGCTAGAATCCCTTGCGAAGAGGGTTCTGTATAAGACCCGTTGTGCGCATCAGGCCGATGGAAGTTGGTGTTGAGGCCCCTCAAAGGTCGTCAAATCGAGCAGAATACGCCTTCAGCTGGAGTCAACCCAAAAAAAAAGGGTGCATGTTTCTGACACCACGTCCAGGCACTGGGTTTTGCAGGATTGAGTAGCATTCCCCAGGGGTGCAGAAGTGGCTCCCACAGAATCCCTAGCATCAAGGAGCCCTTCTGTGCCCCTGGGGAATGCTCAATCTTGTTTTTCAAGCACGGAGAAGCAATACCTCCTACTGTTGTTCCCTGGCTTCAAACCAACAGCTCCCCAACATTTTTGGCAACACTTATTTCGATTTCTGAGAAATCCTTCCTGCGTCCCTGACTCTTCTTTTTTCCTACCAACTCTCGGGTAAGAAAAAAAGATTCAGTTTGCAATCCAAAATTGGAAATGATAACAAAAACATTGTAAGAAAATGACAATAGCTTGAGAAATTGTGGCACCTAGCACCAGCTGATAGCTAGCGGTCACAGGTATTTTGTTTCGAGCTGAAAGAAACGTTACAAAAACCACAGTTTCATCTTCCTCCTTGGAATTTCTTCATGTGCTCCTAGGGGGATCTCCCCACCCCCACCGCATCCGGTTTGGGAACCAAAGCTTTAGGTTGGGTCTTTTAAAGGAGAAAGATCCTTGGAATTTCTTCATGTGCTCCTAGGGGAACCAAAGTTTAGGTTTGGTGTTTTAAAGGAGAAAGGTGGGGTTAAACATATTTTAAGTAAATAAATAAATGTCTTTTCTGCTCTAACCTTCAGAGCACAAATAGCCTTGGTGGCAAATGGTCTGTTCTGAATTGAAATCCATGCACTCTCATCCCTTCTGGCTTTAGACTCTCCACTGCTTGGCACTGCATGTGGGACTCATCCCTCTGAGTTTTGGAGCTATGACCGTTTGGGCAGGAAGTTCTGGCTGTGGGTTCCAGTAACTGAATAGCTAACAACA